ATGAACACATATGGAAAGGAAGGACCGGGCAATCAAATTCTGATTGAAAGAATGGGCCAGTGGGAACCTTACGCACAACAGTGGAACATGGAGAGTGTGGCAGCACTCAACATCCGACCGAGGAAGAGCCTTTTCCTCAAAAGCAGCGCTGACCTTCCTCAGGTAGGTCGAGGAATATTTCCAAACCTTCATTTGGTGATGAGCACCATCTATATCAGAAGAAATAGCTGCAAATACCCATGAGTAATTGGTACTGTATAATACCAATTGAACTGTATAAAGAATGAATATGGGAACATTGGAAGTTGTCCAAAATGAACTGGAATGCTTGGGGATAAGACACCCTAGGCTTTAAGGCGCTAAAATGGGCAGGTGTTGGATCATCATGTGGTCTGCTATGTGGCGAATGACCATTTGAAGAAAAACCGCATTCGGCATCAAAAAGAACACTTCCAGATCTATCCTGGGGTACAATGATGTCAGTGATAGGAGAATATCTATATACTATAAAAAGACCAGTTAGTAAGAATAGTATTTCAGATTACCCACCTACCACTAAAGGCAAAGAGAGAGAAAATGAAGATTTTACTTGTCTTAACATCATCAACATGCAATCAAGACGCACCGGTAATTACTGGGGACCAACATGTGAAAATTGGAAACAAATAGGTAAGATAAGTAATTGGAAAGTATGACGATGGTAAAAATAAATTAAGAGCTCACATGATCACATTCTGCCAGCCTAATAACTTATTTTCAATTTCTTTTTTGAAAAAGATAAGCAGCAACAACACATCAACTTTGCTGAATGGAAGACACAGGAATCAAATCGATTCTATCTGTGGAAAGAGATGATGGAAACAAAAATCCTCCCAACTGACCACCAGACAAGGTCAAGGATAAATGGAGAGCAGACTGAAGTAGTCAGGAAGGTCACCGCACTTGGACGCACAATCCATGCTCACGGCTGTGGCAGAGTCCAGAAATGGAATGATGATTGCACTGGGCAGAGCTACTGCACAAGGCCTCTTGGAAGTGCTAAACAAAGCAAAGCCCACTCTGAGGGCTGAGTTTTGCCTGAAGTCATGGTATTTTCAGTTACTTCATATAGATGTGAAATTGGACAAGGAATAAGGAAGACTGAAAAAGTGTTGAAGCAATTGAACAATGTTGGTGAAAAATATTGAATATTCCACAGGCTGCCAGAAGAATAAACAAATCTATCTTGGAAGAAGTACAGCCATATGCTCCTTCAGACAGAAGAATAGCGAGACTTGGGCTCATATACTTTGAACACATTATCCCAAGGGACATGAGCCTGGAATTGGACTCCATGCTTGGTAGAGGAGAGGGTCAGGAAAACTCCTTGTTAGCCTTCCCACGAGAAAGGCAGACTGCTGGCATGTTACTGAGAAGAGCTTCAGCACCCAGGGACTCACGCTGCAAAAGAGCAAAGACCCACGCGGTCGGTTTTAGCACAACAAGATTGATTAACATATTAGGAAAATATTAATGTATCAACCACTGGAAAACAATTTCTCGTTAATGGTTTATATATTCTCGTGCTATTAGGATAATTTAGCAAGCTTCATTTTCATGCACAAAGTCTAATTGGGTTCTGTGTCTAAATGTGTAACAGGATCAAAAGGAATAGGTCTAAACTGGTAAGACTGAAGCGAATCTAGCTCAATTCTTCCTTGCTCCATTGCCCTACATTATTTTTCATTTTATGAAATGGGATAACAGCAGCTCTACTTGCCCCAGAAATTATGTCCTTTGATGGTTTTAATCCTTTTTTGTTGTTGTTGATGCCACTGAGTCAATCTGATTCCCAGTGACCCCACGTGACAAGACAGAACTGCCCTATAGAGTTTCCTGTGACCTTTACAAGGACAAGCATATCAGCAGGTGGTTCTCCCAAGATGCTGCTGGTGGCGTTGAACCATCAGCCTTTCCATTTGCAGCTCAGCACATCATCAAGGCTCCTTTTAATCATTCTTACAGCCTCCCTTTCCCCTTATCCTCTCTCCATCTAATCAATAACTGCTGTTGATGTTACTTCTAATGAAGTCTTATATCTGACCCCTTGACTCTGTTCCCAGTGCTTCTTCCTAAGCAGATGGTACT